TAGATGTGTTAATGGACTTAACCCTAGGTGACTTCAGCGACTCAGGGATTGACTTGCTACCGGGGAATAATCTCGTTGACTTGGAATATGCAGACGATATAGTCCTTCTAGGCGAAGACGCTGACGAAATGCAGAGTCTTCTAAACACCTTGAGCCGCAATCTACGAATGTTTGGCATGCGATTCGCTCCCGCCAAATGCAAGATGATGTTACAGGACTGGACTACATCGACGCCTAGTTTAAAAATAGGAAGTGAAGTGGTAGAGCACGTTGACCGCTTCACTTATTTGGGAAGTACCATCAGCCCCAACGGGCTGATCTCTGACGAAATCTCAGCACGAATACAAGGGGCTCGTTTCGCATTTGTTAGTTTACGCCGACTCTGGCGTAGACGAGATGTTCGACTATCGACCAAAGGGCGGGTGTACTGCTCATCAGTCCGCTCCGTCCTCCTTTATGGTTGTGAGACCTGGCCACTGAGAGTGGAAGACATGAAAAGACTAGCTGTCTTTGATCATAGGTGCCTGCGTTCTATTTCCCGTGTAAAGTGGCATAATAAGGTGAGCAACATGGAGGTTAGGCGTAGAGTTCTAGGTAAACAGGGGAAATCAATCGACGAAGTCGTGAAGCTACAAAGACTGAGATGGTTAGGACATGTGTTACGTATGCCAAGCCATCGCCTCCCTCGACGAGCAATGTTAGCGGATATAGGGTCAGGCTGGAAAAAAGCTAGCGGCGGTCAAACAAAAACTTGGCACCAGTCAATGAAATCCACAACAGTTGGTCTAAGCCAGTCACGTCTGTCTGTCTGTTTTCGACACAGAACTTTGCACAAATGTACGGAAGTGCAAGTCGCCACACTCCGTGTAGCACGCGAAGCAAGAGAAGAAAGTACAAGAAAAGCATAATAGAAACAGTGAGTAGAGGTGTGAGACAAAGGAGTAATAAAGAAAAACAAAACAGTTTCATTGGAGATCATAAGTCACAAGGAGTGGATGCATCTGCGCCACTGAGAACGATTTTGAGCCATGTCACCAATTGTTTCCAACCATAGATTTTTACCGTCCCGAGGACCCCAGCCTGGAAGTCTACACCTTTCTACGTGGCTAAGACCAACTGTTGTGGATTTCATTGACTGGTGCCAAGTTTTTGTTTGACCGCCGCTAGCTTTTTTCCAGCCTGACCCTATATCCGCTAACATTGCTCGTCGAGGGAGGCGATGACTTGGCATACGTAACACATGTCCTAACCATCTTAGTCTTTGTAGCTTCACGACTTCGTCGATTGATTTCCCCTTTTTACCTAGCACTCTACCCCTAACCTCAATCTTGCTCACCTTATTATGCCACTTTACACGGGAAATAGAACGCAGGCACCTATGATCAAAGACAGCTATTCTTTTCATGTCTTCCACTCTCAGTGGCCAGGTCTCACAACCATAAAGGAGGACGGAGCGGACTGATGAGCAGTACACCCGCCCTTTGGTCGATAGTCGAACATCTCGTCTACGCCAGAGTCGGCGTAAACGTAGGAAGGTGTAGACTTCCTGACTGGTTGGGGTCCTCGGGACGGTAAAAATCTATGGTTGGAAACAATCGGTGACATGGCTCAAAATCGTTCTCAGTGGCTGGTGCAGATGCATCCGCTCCCTGTGACTTATGATCTTCAATGAAACTGTTTTGTATTTCTTTATTACTCCTCCTTTGTCTCACACCTCTGCTCACTGTTTCTATTATGCTTTTCTTGTACTTTCTTCTCTTGCTTCGCGTGCTACACGGAATGTGGCGACTTGAACTACCGCACATTTGTGCAAAGTTCTATGTCGAAAACAGACAGACAGACAGTAAGACATCACCTCTCGCCTCATGGTTTACGAGTACGACTTTTACATGCACACATCAGAGACAAGCGAAATTTATCTGAACAAGCCAAATCTGATGGTGTGTTTAAAAGCCATTTGTACAACCCTTTGATCTTTGCTATGGTCAACTACATAATATGTACTAAGTTTTTAAGTACGATTTCTCCCCTCCTCTTGAAAGTATCTTCTGACTTTGTTAATTTTTACAATTTTTTACAATTCTAGCTAATTCTATTAACTTGTTTTGTATTTTACGTAAGTCTTCTGAGTCATCATCCTATTCTTCTTAGTCATCATTACTATTTTACAAATTCCTTGATTATGTAATAACTTGTTGCCGACGCCTAATAATCAACTTATCTTGAATTCCGTAATTAATTTTCATCCGTTGCTCCTTGAAAACTTAAATATCTTGTTACTAACATCTATGAGTTATTTGTTTTGATGACCTTTATAACCTCTTGATTTCACCCCCCCCCCGCCTATACCCAAAACCCGATTAACTGAAATAACCGCCTGGTTGGTAAAATAATTTTGATGTAAAAAACCATATATATAAGTGTAGAACCATCCGATGATGAAGAACTAACTGAAAAGAAATGCGTATTTCTTCGCTTAATCTGTTGTGTTTTCTAAAAAGTGAACTCTCCATCTTATTAAGTGAAAAGGCAATAAACCACCTTAATGTATGTGCAAAACTTGGGCACTGTGGTAGTAAGTAACTCCATATTAGTTTGTTTATTAGATGTACCACACAGCGACTAAACAGTATCATTTACTGGATGACGTTTCGAACAAAATTTATTGCTGTTCATAATCATACCAATATCATACCAATCAATTATAATCACACGACTTCGAAACTTGAGTTTTATAGTTTTCTTTGTCCCCTCCTATATGTCGTCGTCGGGGTAGTAGAATTTTCCAGATATCTGGGTGGACAGGTGTTGAATCATTCTTATTACATGTATTCTCTACCAGTTGATTCGATAAACAAAGCTTCTGTTATCAATCTGTCCCTCCACCCTGTGACATTAAATTTTAGCACTGTCATCTAATCCCATCCAACGTATTGTATGGTTGTGTGTAACTGCATGTAGTGAGTACTATGGCTGAACTTATCTCTAGATTTCTTATCTTATTTGGGTCAACCAATATAGATTTTGCTGCTGGGTTTTTATGTTCAGCTAGTCTGACTGCCTCTGTTCTACTACTTTGACCTGACAATGATCGCAGACACGGTATTAGATAAACTAAATTGTTTTGTTTTAGAGGCTCCACTGGCAGGATCCTTTAACCGACAAAGCTTGTTTCTAATTGAGTTTGTGGTTGGTTTGAATGCCAGCCACTTTTGTTCCTGACTTGTTAAGAATTCTGTGTAAGGTCCCGAGGTTCCTTCCTTGTATGGAATTACTACTGGTGATAGTGATAATAATAATAATAATAGCAATAATAATAGTAATAGTGATAATAATAATGACGACACCAGCAATACGGAATCTAAATCATCAGTAATAATTCCATACAAGGAAGGAACCTCGGGGACCTTACACAGAATTCTTAACAAGTCAGGAACAAAAGTGGCTGGCATTCAAACCAACCACAAACTCAATTAGAAACAAGCTTTGTCGGTTAAAGGATCCTGCCAGTGGAGCCTCTAAAACAAAACAATTTAGTTTATCTAATACCGTGTCTGCGATCATTGTCAGGTCAAAGTAGTAGAACAGAGGCAGTCAGACTAGCTGAACATAAAAACCCAGCAGCAAAATCTATATTGGTTGACCCAAATAAGATAAGAAATCTAGAGATAGTTCAGCCATAGTACTCACTACATGCAGTTACACACAACCATACAATACGTTGGATGGGATTAGATGACAGTGCTAAAATTTAATGTCACAGGGTGGAGGGACAGATTGATAACAGAAGCTTTGTTTATCGAATCAACTGGTAGAGAATACATGTAATAAGAATGATTCAACACCTGTCCACCCAGATATCTGGAAAATTCTACTACCCCGACGACGACATATAGGAGGGGACAAAGAAAACTATAAAACTCAAGTTTCGAAGTCGTGTGATTATAATTGATTGGTATGATATAATTGGTATGATTATGAACAGCAATAAATTTTGTTCGAAACGTCATCCAGTAAATGATACTGTTTAGTCGCTGTGTGATACATCTAATAAACAAGCTAATATGGAATCACTAAACGACCACTCACATCACTGGGACACCAATCACAAACACACTGAAGCAGCGGCTGTCATGATGTCACACTAACAACAATATCCAAAGCGCTATTTGCAATGGGAACCAATCTCCCTCCTACAGGACAGCGACAGTATGACGCGACTCAATAAGAAGAAAAGTTACAACTATTTAAAAGCTACGCTGACTGACTGACTGCTTTCAACACATAACTTTGCACCGATGCACAGCAGTTCAAGTCGCAAAATGCAAAATAAAAACAGTAACGGGGGATAAAAGGCAAAAAGAATAGTAACATCAAAGAACAATATAGTTTTATTGGAAATTATAAGTCACAAGGAGTGGATGCATCTGCACAACCCAGCCATTGACAACGATCACATTGAGCCATATCACCAATTGTCTCCAGTCTTCATTGATGTTTACCGTCATCCTGAGGACCCCAACCAGTCAGGAAGCCAGTCTACACCTCCCTATGTGGCTGGCTTAAACTATTTGTTGTGGATTTCATCGAATGATGAAGCCCTGCTTTGGTTTGACCACCACTAGCTAACTCTTTTTCAACGTGATCCATCCTATGTCAGCTAACATTTCCCATCAGTCGAGGAAGCCGATGTTCCAACCAGCTCAGTTCATGTAGCTTCATAGTCTCGTTTATTAATTTCCCCCTCTTCACCTAACTACCACTCGACCGACGCCTAACCTCAACATTACTCACGCTATCATACCACTTCACACGAGAGACAGAACGCAGGCACCTATGATCAAATACAGCTAGCCGGACTTTTCATATCTTCAACTCTCAATGGCCACGTCTCACAGCCATAAGGGAGGACGAAGCGAACTGCTGAGCAGTACACACACCCGCCCCACCCCAGAAAAAAAAAGAAAACAATAAACATTATTTAACAATCATAAACGAACCTGTAGTGATTGTTGGTGCTTTCAAATATTTAATTAAACCATTCCCTTGATCGATATAATTATTGTTACCATGGATACCTGTACTATTATTGTTATTATGAATATGACTATTATTATTGTTATGATGATTCCGATGTCCTGTTGACGTGGATGGACTACATGAAGTTGATGCAGTCGCTGAAGTATTCATTGTTGTATACTGTGAACAATAACGTGGATGCGGCTTTAATAGAATTTCTATTTCAGGATAAACAGATGGGGATGATGTAGAATTATTACTATTACTATTATTATGATTGTGTAATGTGCTATTCTGTAAATGATCACGATCAATACCAACAGAGCCATTCGTTGTAGTAGTAGTAGCAGTACCAGCAGCACCAGGAGTAGTATTCAACGCAACTGATGTAGGATTCCTGTGATGATGTACCACGGGTAAATCAGAAATGGAACTATTTTCACCAATTGAATTTGTATCCATTCCGCTTTCTGTATCAGAATTATTAATGATTTGATTATTAGCATGTAGAGATGTGGGGATAATACGCCTTCCTGAACAATTTTCATTATTAACAAACTAGAAATATGGGAAGAAATTAATAGAAAAACAGTGAAAACGACATTACACACGCACACACACACACACACAGTATCGTATTATTTGATTGATTGGAGGATTTCATCATGAGCTGAACAGCTGGGAGTACTGTGGAAAGCTGTTTCGTCCAACTGGTTTAGGACTCTTTAGCAGTATGTACCCACAATCAGGGTTAGAACCCAGGACCTTCCGGTTACAAGGAGAGCCACTGGGACCCACCAATCCAATGACCATCTCCCATGAATTCTAACTTCTACCAATTCATGACATAGTGTGACCACTTCGTAATGTCTTCTTTTTCGATGAGTTACTGCCTCACCTTCAACCTGTTGTACCCTACTGGTCACGGCTTCCGACTAGAACCAGCCCAGGTTAACTGCCTACCTGAATAAGGCCAGTCGATAGTGAGCATCAGATTAATTTTCAAGTATTGATTTTGTAGGGATTGCTTTTGTTTGATTGGTTGGAGGAGTTCAGGAGTACTGAACAGCTGTTTCGTCAGCCTAGTTTGGGACTCTTCATCAGTACACACCCGCCTCTAACCAATCAAAAAAAATTCCTACAAAACCAATACTTGAAAATATCTCATTATTTAACCGAAATCAATTATCATCTCTCCTCCAGTGGGGTCAGGAGTGCATACTGCTAAGGAATCCCTAAAAACTAGGCTCAACCTATAGCTATTACCCTGAAGTAGTGGTCGGCCTCGGTGAAATACACTGACTCGAACTAATGTTAGAAAGGTTCTCTGGATACCGATTAGACTAAAAGCAGTTACCAGCATAGTCTAAGATTTCTTTTACACTATGTTGGAGGTCTGTGCTTGAAGTCATGCTCCTAGAGAATAGGGGTGTAAAAGCAGTAAGTGTCCCCCCCCCGCAGACGACCATTAAGCCAATTATCCTGTCTCTCTATTCCGGAGAAGATGGAGGTTGGAAAAGGTTGACTACGAAAAATGTGCATCCCGCCGACTTAGTCTGCGATGATTTCGTAGCCGGCAGTAAGTTCCTAATACAGACACGACCCCCCCCCAAGAAAAATCCACTTCAAAGTGGTTGTGTATGACCCGTCTTGAGCAGTTGTCCACTGCGTTTTGAGGTTATACAACATTAATACTCTTTCAGTTTTAAGTATCCTAAGAAAAGTCACCTTCCATGGGGTGTGGACGACTGGGGGAGTAACAACCACCCCCACACACTTCCAAAAGCATACAAAGGACATCTATACACCACTAGGAAGAAACAATCGTCGAGTAGTCTTTTCTGCTACAAGAATAATAACATGAGAAAACATGACATTAGGCGGATATTTGGGGTATCACAGAGAGTAAATGCAACTGTGTCAACTGACAACGATTTTTGTGCTATATCATCACCAATAGTCTCGAGCCATTGATTCTTAGCATCTTGAGGACACCACTCCCCACCAACCACACAGCCTATACTTCCACACGTGGTTAACTCAAACTAACGCTCAAAGACTTCATGGATTGATGCCACGTCTTGGTTTGAGAAACTCTAACTCTTTGTCAACTTAATTCTATGTCAGCTAACATTGCCCATGGAGGAAAGTGATGGTTTTGGCAAGCGCAACACGTGTCCTAGCCATCTCAATCGATATAACTTCACAACCTCATCAATGGACTTACTTCCTGCCTATCTAACACTACGCCTAACTTCAATACTACTATTTACCATACTATACCTCTTAACACGGGAGATAGAATGCGAACACCTGTGGCCAGTCATTTCATATCTTCCACTTTCAATGGTCATGTCTCACAGTCATAATGGAGTGCACAGTGAAGTGTACATATTTTATCATCTGCGCCAGAGATGACATAAATCTGCAAATGCTGCACTAGCTTATTTTCATCCGTGCTGAGATTTCGTCAGAACTACTCCGTTGGGGGGGGGGGTGACTCAACTTCTCCAGAATGTGAAGTGATCAACACGCCCTACCAATTCACTCCCTATCCAGAGTTGGTGAAATCCAGTGCTGCAGTATCATTGTATGCCAGACATTCAAAAATTTCTGCCCAAATTTTGCATCTTATCAGCGTCTTTACCTAGAAGGACAATAATCATCCTTAAATTTCTCCAAACAAACAAAAGGGAATAGGTAAAAACCCGAAAAACAGAACAACACACAATGACAAAATAAGAATACTTACACTTGATGACGTCTCTTCCTCACTAATTGCAACATCTGTATGTCCGACTTCATTTGTTCCACTATGACCAGTAACAGTAGCAGAGGCAGTAGAATGATTCATATCATTTGAAGGATTCCCGCTAACTGATGATGATGATGTGCTGAGGTATGCTGTGTACGTCCAGAGTGACTTGTACTTCTTCCTCGACCACCACCGCTGCCGCTGGTTGTATTAGCCGCTGATGAATTACCATTTATGCCTAATTGTTGTTCAAGAGAACGTGTTAATGCAGCGCTTAAATGCTGTCGATTTAAACGTGCCAAAATTTTATCCTGATGTGCTTCATACTCCTATGAGAGACAGAGAGAGACAGAGAGAAGCAGAGGGGAACAAGAAGTATGTATGTATACCTTAACAGAAACGTCATCCTCTAAAATTCAAAACTTTTAGTGATGAAATAATAACAATAATAATCATATACAACAAATTCGACGGGGAAAATTTCTCTATGACGCCACATACTACTGATTAACTTATTGATAGGACTGATTTAAGTAGGCTGCCACATATAGGTTTATTCTTCAAATTAATGAGACATTAAATTGCAAAGAAAGGAAGACAGAAATGAAGACTTAACAAGTTTTTGCCAGTATTTATTATCATTATTATTGTTCCCTTGGGTTCCTAGTGAAACATAGGGCTTCAACTGCACGTCTCCACTTGCCACTTCTGTCTTTCTGCTGTACTTTTCACATGCATCCATGTTAATCCATACTGTTTCAACTCCTCTTCACACGATCTCCTCCATGTCACTCTTGCACTGACGTCCCACTCGCCGATTCCCTTTCGGCCTGGTTCCACTCGAGGGCCGGATGCGCGCACGATGTCACCCAGTGGCCTCCTCAGGGAGTGTCCAATCCATCTCCACTTTCTCCTGCATATTCGTTGGTTGGCGATTCCTTCTTGTTTTGTTTGTTCCCATAGTTTCTTGTTGGTGATTCTTTCCGGCCCGGCCATCTGATTTTCAGTATAGAGAGAAGACAGTTATTGTTGATAAAGGTCTGCAACAGGCTGTTGGAAATATTATTTGTGACTCTCCCGCCAAGTTTCTGATCTGTATAGAAGAGCTGACTGACTTGACGTTGTTTGTATTGAAAATCCGACCGAATTTTGTTGTTGATGCTGGCTGAGTGACGAAGATTTCCAGATTAGATTGGTTTCAGGTTGATGATGTTGGTGTGTTTCTCGCCTTCCCGATTCTCGCTCGATTTGAGATCCTCGTCCGTTCCGACTGCCTGTAGTTGAGACAATGCTCCCTAGATCAGTGAGTGAATGAAGTAACCTCTTTCAAATCCCTCCCGTTGATGGTGATTGGCGCTGGATGCTGCTGATGTTGTCGTTGTTGTTGGTTGGTTATTTTCATAACCTCCGTCTTGTCTATGTTCACCTGGAGTCCTGTCTTCGCTGGCTGCTTCTTCGACCAGTTTGTCCGTTTTCGCTTGTAAGTCTTCGATTTTGTGTGACATCAAACATAAATCATCCATGCGCGAAATCCAGGTTTTTTATGTTCTTCGCGTCGGTCCAGGATATTCCTGTCTTCTCGTTTCCCACTGTCTGACGCATAATCCAGTCCACCACAATTAGGAATATCATTGGTGATAATAAGCACCCTTATCTGATTCCTGTGTTTACTCGAAACGCCTCTGTGAGTTTTCCGTTGTCTATCACTTGACATGTGCCGTTGTCATACAGCTTTTGAATAAGGTTGATGAATATTTGGGGTATACTGTAATACTCGAGTAGTTTCCAAAGTACTTCGCGGTCAACGCTGTCAAAGGCATTCTCAAATTTTTTGCCAATGATAAGATCATAAAGGTAGTAATGATACTGAGTGGTGTTCAACAACTGATAAAAAGCAGTACTAGATAGCACTATATGCTCATGCTTGCTGTTTTAACTGCCGCGTATGCGATCAAGCACAGACATATTGCGATCTGAAGAATTTCGGTCTTTAAAAGAAATTGACGTCAAATTTAACCTCTTTGAACTGTGTAAATTGGAAAATCCCAAATTAATTTGAAATATTGAGAATTTTAACTAAACGTATTACAAGTTTAATTGAATTCTAGATTTCCCATCGATTGATTGGACCGAAGTGCTCCTCGGTCTCAGGTTGATATGTCGGCTTCTTCTTGTGCAGATACTTCGACAATGTCTGGGCATGTAATTAGAAGAAGCTGACATGTCAACCCGAGACCGAGGAGCACTTTGGTCCAAACAATCGGCAGGAAAATCTAAAATTCAATTAAATCATTAATTAATATGACCCGTTGCACAAGAAGCAGTGGCTCTCATGGCTCAAGTGGTCTAGTGGATAACGCTTTGACATTTGAAACCATGGGCACTGGATGCGAGCCTCAGTGCAGGGAACATCATCACTCACTGGGGAATGCAGGCACATCCAGATGGTGAGTCCCAAAAAGGACGAAATGCAAATCCTGGATACCACTGCTAGTCATCATTGTCATCGTTTATTAAGTGGCTAGACGGAATCCGGGTAGTTTGAACTGATTCACCTATCTAAGCTGAGTCCAACTGCACAACATTGCTGGTTGTGGAGAGATGTCGGGACGGTAAAAATCTATGGTTGGAAACAATTGGTGACATGGCTCAAAATCGTTCTCAATGGCTGGCTGGCCCAGATGCATCCACTCCTTGTGACTTATGATCTCCAATGAAACTATATTGTTCTTCGTTATTACTATTCCTTTGTCTCACACCTCTGCTCACTGTTTCTATTATGCTTTTCTTGTACTTTCTTCTCTTGCTTCGCGTGCTACACGGAGTGTGGCGACTTGAACTGGTGCACATTTGTGCAAAGTTCTATGTCGAAAACAGACAGACAGCTACCTTGATGTAGTGGTCGGGCTTGCACATCGCAATTACCCCACTAGCTACACTGGCTGGAACTATTGTTCCTGTAGGTCTTACCATGCCACGAAGGTTGTTAGGATAGCGATTAGACTAAAAGCAGTTACCGGCTTAGTGCAAGGATCTTTGTTTTACACTATGCTGGGGTCGATCGTAAGCCCGGTTAAAAGGGAGGGTTGGGTGTGAGGTTAGCAACCTCAACGTGAGTAAGAACAACATCGCCAGTGAAAATTTAAAACTGAATCTTGAAGCCCTATTTTCCACTAGAAACGCAAAGGAATAAAATTAAAATGAATAAAAGACGTGGTTAAGAGTGACGCAATAAATACAGTCATAAATCGTTCCTAACCATATATAAAGTAACTACGTAATAGTCAACAGCGTTGGTGGCACAGTAGTTAGGACGCTCGCCGACCATGCACATGGTGCTGGGTTCGATCCTCGGCCGACGCACTCCTTTACCTCGCCAAGCCAGAAATAATGCTGGTAAAGGGGAAAGGTTGGGCATGAGGCTAGCAACCCCATCCTGTAAAAACAAACACTGCTACAGAAACTTCAAGCCACTAGCTTGAAGCCCTATGTTCCACTGGGAGCGTGAAGGAAAAAATTAATTAAAAAATTAAGTCGATAACACAACGAAAGTAAGGGTTTATTACATGAAAACCAAGGTAGTAGAGTGTTCCTTTGACAAGTGTGAAAAAGGTGAAAGAGAGGAAAAGACAATCAATAAAACGTATAAAGGGATACACGTATAAGTGATGATATTGATTTATCTACTAAAAATAGAAGCAAATAAATAAACAAATAGGAAGGAGTTTAAGACCATGACAGTATGAGACGCCGAACGAGTCTTTTCTTCACACAGGGAATCGCTAGCGCCTCCGTCAGACAAAAGTGTTCAAACTTAACAAACCTTGTACTCATTAGATGATAGTTGGAGGAGATGCGCACAAAGCCCTGGACCTGGGTGTCGTGCTTGTTAGTACTCACCAGTCAGCCAGCAAGGCGTATCTGCAACCACCTTGAAGGGACTCATGTCCCTTTTAAGATTCGAACCCGTGTCACCCAGTGCTGCAGTCAGAGACATTACCATCACTGAGCTATTCAGGCTGGCTCGCGATTGACCTTCTGTAGGAGGACTGTATTGGATACTTTGATTGGACACTAATAAACTGGTATCATGTGTCTGGTTGTTTGTTTGGTGTAGACTGAATTCTATCAGTTAATTTATTGACAACAAAAAACACCTTGTACTATTTGGTCTTACTCTATAGACGTAAAATTTAAAAGAGAATTTTGGTGGAACAATTTAACCAGAGTTCACGATATCCTCAAATGGAATTGAAATATTTCTCTGGTAATCCATTTCCAAAAGTTTTCATAAAAATTCTTAAGGCAAGACTTAACATCATACAATGGGAGAGGTTTGACAGAGGTTACTTCCTTTACTTATCCAGCCAGGAAGCATGTGGTTTCAACCAAAGGTAGACGGGATGTATGAAGGATGTCAAAGCCAACCAAGCAGAATCGGAAAGACATGGCACACCTTGATCAACTTGAAAGCAGTTCAGCAAATCTTCTGCTCTCACTCACTCGACATAAACAACCAGATTCGGATTCTATTCAACACAAATGTGAAGTCGATCAGTCAGTTCGTCTATATGGGTGAGAAACTCAGCCAGCATGTCATGAAAGAGATTTTCAACAAGTTACAGACTTTTATCAACAGCTGCCACCTTCGCTGGCTGGCTCCATATATTATTATTATTATTATTATTATTATATCCTTTAATTCCTAGAGGAACATAGGGCTTCAGCTGCGCGTCTCCATTGCCTTCGGTTTTCTGTCAACTTTTTCACCCCGCTCCAAATCTGCCCACATGCTTTCATCTCCTCTTCACATGACTTCCTCCTCCAAGTCACCCTTGCACTGACCACCAACTCGCCGCTTCCCACTCTATCGGGTCCCACTCGAGCAATGGCTTGTCTAGTGATGTCACTTGATGGTTTCCTCAGAGTATGGCCAGCCAATCCATCTTCATTTCTTCCTGCCTATTTGTTAAATAATCGGTCCCTCCTGGGTTGGTTCGCTCCCAGAGATCCCTGTTGCTGATCTTTTCTGGAAATCTGATCTTGAGCGGAGACAACTGTCAATGAAGGTTTGTAGTTTGTTTGAGATGCTCTTTATGACGCGCCAAGTCTCTGATCCACATGGTAAGTAGCACTGACTTCACATTGGAGTTGAAAATCGTATCTTATTTTTGATGCTGAGTGCTGTTGACCTCCATACTGGAGATCAAATGGCCAACCGACCAGAAAGAATTATCAACAAGAAACTCCGGCTGGGAACAAACCAGCCCAGTGCCGATTGCTCAACAAATATGTAGGAAAAAAATGGAGATAGATCGACATACACTGAGGAGGCCATCGAGTGACAACGCGCACAATGCAGGCCGTCGCTCGAGTGGAATCCCAATGGGAAGCGACGAGTGGGTCGTCTGTTCGAGGATGACATGGAGGAGATAGTGGTGAGGAGGAGGAGATGAGATATTATGGACGATTGTGGCTCCAGCTGAAGAGGACAGCCAAAAATAGAACAAAGTGGGGATGTGTTGTTGAAGCCGTATGTTCCACTCGGAACCCAACGCAATAATAATAATAATAATAACAATAATGCATCATTATTTCACAACAAAAAAGTATAGAAAATAACCACGGAAATAAATACATACTTGACGACTTGGATATATTTTTGCTATTAATGCATCAAAATTTGGATCTCTTCTCAAGGATCTTTTAGAGACTAACTTTTTACGACATGTTGGACATTCTTTATTACCACTACGCAGTGCTGTTATAATACATTCAGAACAAAAACGATGCAGGCATTCTTTTGTTGTCATAGTAACTTTTAATATATCTAAGCATATTGGACACATTAATTCACTTTTTAAACTTCTTGGACTAACAGCAATCACTGTACCATCAGTAATAGGTTCTTGTGGTTTACGATGTAGTTCATATAAGGTAAGCTCCCAATTTTTAGATGATGCATTCTCTGTACTCATTTCTAAAATTATAAAAAATAAGAATAGAAATGATGATAGTGTAAATAATTTAATTCGTAGTAGTAAAAAAAATGGACGTACTAATTATGTCATAAACTTTCAAAGACACCGTTTCTTTTCTTAAACAGTTGACCATACTACTAATATGGCAAAAATATACATTCAGATATCTATAAAACACAATAATTGAGCAAAGAATATCCTTTTCAACTGGCCCTATTCAGGTAGGGGGTTCCCACTGGAACCCCTGTGGGAAGTCGTGACCAGTAGGGTGCAGCAGGTCGGCCGTGAGGACAAATACTTGCCGAAGACACTGGCTAGCGGTTGCGCTATATCGTGAATTGGCAGAAGCTAGAATTCATGGGCCATTGGATCGGGTCCCAGTGGCTAATGGTCTACGAGCTAGCTCGCCTTGTAACCAGAAGGTCCCGGGTTCGAAACTAATCAGGTGAGTACACTCTGTGAAGTGTCCCAAACTACGACGAAACAGCTGCCCAGTACTCCCAGGTTTTCCAATGGTTCTCTAACTAATGTCAGCTCATGATGAAATCCTGTAACCAATCAACCAAATCCCTACAAACCAATAATTGAATATCCTTTTCGATAAATTCCTCTTCTGGCTCTACAATTATATATATATATATATATATATATATATAAATATTCTAGATTAGTAGTCAATAACAATATTAGTGTTTTCTAAATAATATCGATTTGTAGAGTAAGATCACAGTGGAATTACACTTCGTTAAAGATGCTTAAATTATAATCATCATAAAGATATAGTAGCAAATTGAATATCGACTAAAATTAGGAAAATTCCACAAAAATTCAGGATCATTCCCTGCTGCCGAATTACGCTGTGTCTTTAAAACACCCACCCCCATTTTGCGTTCGGGAGTAAAAGATAAACTGCTTAATTTCCAGCTCTCCCATGTGTATCTACCAATTTAACTGCTCCTGTGGAGTGAGCCAGTTAGTTGCATAAGCCATACACTTAGGCGTGTTTCTCGTGGGATTTCCGAACATCATATGCAAATTGGTTAAGTAAAGGACAAACAAAATCAGTTCACATGGCGCTATTCTATCTCATCTTGTGGATACAGAATACAAGATTGACGTTAACCATGATTTCAGGGTCATTTACTGCATACCTACAAATCTCAATCTTGCCTTAAGAGTTCGACTACTAAATATTGCTGAGGCTGGCTGTTGGGATCCCTATTAACAAGCCTAGTTCGTGCATCCAAAAGAAGTTAGTTCAGACATTATCATTACGTTGGCCATCTAGGTTTGAATGATCCTCAATTTTTGTAGAATTTTCCTAATTTTAGTTGATATTCTATTTGCTACCATATCTTTATTATTATTATAATTTAAGCATCCTTAATGAACTGTAATTCCACTGTGATCTTACTCTACAAATCGATAGTATTTAAAAAACACTAATATTGTTATTGACTACTATTCTAAAATATTCTATGTATATAAACATGCATATGTAATTGTAGAGCCAGACGAGGAATTTATCGAAAAGGATATTCTTTGCTCAATTATTTTGTGTTTTATACTACTAATAAGCAAATATTTCATTATGATAACTGACAGTGTGAAATTATTTAGACAGCTGAATTTCTCTAGTTCATGTGAACTGCTTATCCCGTGAAAACAAGCAAACGTTATATCGATAAGCATTTTAGAGAGCAATATTTGATTGTGTCGCATACGTTAATATTCAATAATTTTAGGTGTACTTATTGAGGCAAAAGGAATAGTAATATGGAAGAAAAACAGAATTTTGTTGGATATGATTGGGAAATCACAAAGAATGAATGCATCTGCGCCAGTCATTGAGAAGGATTTTGAGTCATATCACTAGTTGTCTCCAGCAGTCAATGGTTCTTACCATCCTGAGGACTCCGACCAGTTAGGAAGTCTACATCTCCCTACGTGGCTTAAACTACATCCACAACAACCAAGCAGAGCACAGTTTGTGGTTTAATTTACGGAAAATTATGCTTAAAATTAAACTGCTGAAGACAAACAAGTTGAGCATGCAAGATCACCTTGAGTCACCGCATACTTTCTTCCAAGTGGATGAAACCGTTAACTGAAAGAATCAACAGTAACACAAAACATGAAGGAATAATCCAAATCCAATGCGTCATACGACCGCAATGTCATTAAAAATTGGGCACGAATAATAATCTAGATGTGTAAAAGTGAACTTTATATTTACGAGCAGAAATAGTGACGAAATATGGTGGTTTTACGTAGAAACTCGTGAAACAGTAGTATTATCTGAACAATTTACTTGTAAAAGTAACGAAGTGCTATTGCGAGAAACAAACTAACTGCACACACAAAGGTCAAGTTAAACACAAAAAAATTAGTATCCCCCAACCACGTCGAACTACCTTATCTCTTGTCACATGAACGGCTAAATTACCCATACTTTACTGCTGTCTCTGGATTCTGTCACGAATCGTCCTTACAGTGTGATCCTTGCACACAAAACGAAGATACATTTAAATTGATAGATAATTGTCGGTAAGTGTGCAAATTTTTTATGCAGGGCTAAAACTAGTGATGAGCTCATTTTTCAAATCGCAAAAATCATATATATACACCTAATCGTACAAAAAAATAGTAAAATTTTGGTTAGTGGGCATATAATGGACAAGGCCAACAGGAACAAATAATACGCGAATTTCCAGGTACATGACATAATTCCCTCCATTCCGTCTAAAATATAACCAACATTTTACCGTTTCGACGACTAATTAACCAATATTTTCTTAAAATCTGACCAACAATTTATCAAAAATTTAGAAAACAAAAAGATTGAGCGAAGAAATATTTACTTTTCAATTAGATTCTCATCTCTGGCTCTACTCTAATATATATATATATATATATATCACTTTAATTACAATACAACAGTTTGCCAATCAAGTGGCGATAAGTTTGTTAACAATAATTTAACAGTGTCAAAATGTCAGTGGGTTAATAATTAACGAATAAAATCAACTGTAATTAAAATGCTGTATATATTAGAGTAGAGACAGAGATGAGTATCTAATTTAAAAGTAAATATTTCTTCGCTCAATCTTTCTGTTTCCTAAATGTCTAAATGAGATTTTTTTTCTATATTATCAAAATTAACCGACATTCTCCCATTATCTCCAAATCGCACATATAAGGGCAAGAAACAGTGAAATAGTTCAAATTGATGGATTTGAGGCAGATAGCAACAGGGGTAAAATAATGGGATATTTCTGGTTAAATAACAGGCAAGAGACCACTACGAATAGGTAAATGGTGGGAATGGCAAAGTATTGGTTAGATAATGGTCACAATCGTGAAATTTCGGTCTAGTAAGAGTCAAGTTGAGAAGACGATTGAAACAGTGGAAGTAATTTTACATAAAAAAATAATTCGTCAACTTTTTTTAATAAGGGCTGAACCCATTATTCAACCGACTTTACACATTTGTGTACGACTGAATGGGTATATATATACATATAGCTGCGGTTGTAGATCCACACTAAACACATGAAAATTAAACTTCAGATTTCTATTTAGAGAAGTCAACTTATGACAATCGTATACCATAAGCATAAGGTTACCTGAAGAATAAAGTTGTAACAGCCCACCTGTAGCTCAACCGTTGTGAGAAGCGGCTATCTTCAATGTTCAATGGCTGATATCGTGGCGACGGACTGATGCAGGACCCTTCACTTCTTCGTATTCTCCACTCGATACCAACGCCAAGTAGTATTTTTCAAGTTTATACTGAGGAACGAGACTCAACCAGTTACCTACTGTGGCTAGTGTGTAGCAGCATACAGGTTTTGTTCTATTACGTGACTGTTATAAGCTGTGTTAAGTCACTGATCATCATACACACTGAGTAAGTCAATTTTTTTCAGGTGGCAATATGTGTGAGAATCCGATCTAATGGATCTGAAAATAACAGTAACAATTAAATTAGACATGTGTAAAAATTAAATTTGTAGAATCTCAGCGAAGTTGAAATGAGCAATTCCGTATCTTTCGGCAAAATATTTCGGACTTCTTCAACTTCACTGAGACTTTACAAGCACAATTTTTACACGTGCCTACTTCTCACTTGGTGCCCAACTGTTTCGGAACTGTTCCATCATATCTTGATCCCAGCTCATATGAATAATATTAGTTAATTAAGTATCAATGAAAGGGTAATTTTTAGTGTTAGTTCACATCAGTTTTCCGAATTTTTACTCCATTTTCTGTTTGGCTAAAGTGGTTCATCTGCCGTTTCACAGTCTCCAGTATTCAGAAGAAACTCAAAGCACTGGAGGTGCTAACTGTTACACGGTTTCTGGAGGCATTTAGCAGACGGATGACAACGTGAGAGCAAACTCTAGATAATGCTGTTTGATGAGGCTTCCGCGGTTTTACGAGAGGACTGCCACTGTAACTTGAGGAAACACTATCTGAGATAGTTCGGTCACTATTAGATGAAGTGTTATCAGTTGAGTCCCGAGTCTATGGTGACGAAACATGTGAAAACCTCAGTTCTTACAATCGCTTATGTGAACTGGATGTATGAGGATGCTGTTACATCCTTTCAGGTCCTTCTATGAACCCTTCCCAAAGAAGTGAAAAATATTTTGCTCGTCATCATCATCAACTATTACTGCAACATGAATTTTTGTTTGGCAAATGAGAAGTCACATTAGAATACGTAGTTTCTGTGTAGTACTGCATTAGGGCAGCGAACTCACTGACAGGCCTCCCATGTTGATTGAAATAATATCATTTTGGTTGAAGCTTGAAGTGTTTATACGTAGTTGCAGTAATAGTTATAATACAGTATTCCCGTGACTTCAAGCACACCAGTTTTAATGACACGGATAGGTCGTTACATAAAATACATAAATCCAGTGTAGGGGGGGTAACATAGACACTTTTTTCAACACTACAATCAGCTGGAACAGTCTGCTAACCAACTGCTAGATGTAATTTAGAAGTAGTGCCTTCATATCAACAAAATAACCCAGGTATGCGGGAAATATATTACAAACACTTGGCGAAAGGGGTTGAATCCAAGTTTCCTACATACTTTTGTATTGTGGGACTTTGCATCAATACTGATGAGGGCGTCAAGTGAGCGACTAGAAAGGCAGTACAGGCCTTCATCACTGTTAAATCATTGTGGAAATCAACTGCACTCAGAACCGGGAGCAAGAGTTCGAGTCTCAGTTCGAATGTGCATTCATTTCCTTGACGTCGTTCAGAGACTTAGGGCTCATATCATAAGCAGTCCAATACAGACTTTCATTAACAGTTGTTCCAATGCCTATGGTAGTATAAATGGCCAGAAATGATTAGCGATAAGAAAATGTGGTAGAGAACCAGCCAATCACTTGACACACGTGCAGAAGAAGTGGAGATAGATTGAACGCGCTCCGAGGAAACCGTTAATGGATATCACACTTCAGGTCCTTGAAAGCAATGCGAATGGAAAAGGACGTGTCGAGCCCCTGCGGTAGACACGGAGGAAAAGGTGTGAAGGGGAAACCAAATATTGTAGGCAGTCGTTGTCCTGGCCAAACAGGAGACTGTGGGAATGGAGGGAATTGGAGATGATTTGCTGTGCCACTGTACTCCACTCGGAACACTGTGTGATTTATCATAATAAAATCTCATCCATAATGGAGTTATACGCTACCAGTTCCCAAGTTTTATACTTATATCAACCCAAGGAAATGTTAATAATACAACCATGCACCCTATTCTTGAAGTGACAGTTTAATTATGTCAGGTGTAACTTTAATATATATTTGTTTTCTTATCCCAGCGACGGTGATGTAAGCTTACATCAGCAAGGAACATGTCTTTAACGTATGGCCACAACCGTGGGTGTATTCGTGCCTTAGATATTTAATGACCCTAATATGTGGTGTGTTACAGAAGCAAATAGTACATCCTCATTGTTTTCGTAGTCACTAAAGTGTAACAGTTTGTTTAGAGGGTGTCTGAATCATGCAACCGAGACACAGATTCTGATTTTTTGGATATAATGTTCCATATCTTAGAATACAAGATTGTGAAGAAGTCTGCACGCAGAGATATTTTAAAGGCTTCTTTCGCTACTGAGCATGTTTAAGGCAGTAAAATCCTTCCAGTAAGGAATTTATGTCCTCATTTTCTGAGAATGGCACATTGTGCAGGAACTTAGAGAAGAACACTAGATCTATGCTTAGTCGTCTCATCCACGTGGGTTAAGATTCAGAGACATACGCCTCTAGGTGTAGCCCGATCATATTCATATCCAAGCAGCTTGAACGTGAAATATGGTTGGACACTTTTTATCTTCAGCTTATTACATCAGCGAACACCGCTGGGAACCAATCGGCATTACTCTCATAGCAGTTTTACACACGTTTCGTATGATGCTGCTTTTGCTTCATGGATGTAAAAATTTCTGAGCGGGTATATTTGAACGAAGCAGTTTTAATTTAGTGTAACTTTAACAGGGAGGACCGTATTCTGAAAACATCCTGGGTCATGTGAAAAACAAGTGAAGATGTTACTTACGCAATGCGAAGAGAAGGAAACCCAGGGAGTTACATAAAACTATATCAAAAGTGATTAGCCTAGTCTCAGAAGTCACAGACCGAAGAAGAGCTATTTGTGAATTAATTTTTAGGAATAATTAACGCCATCCCAATAATGGGTCACCTATTCCTCAGGGATTCAGCTTATTTGCCAACAGTAAACGGTCGAAAGAGTCAAACGCCTTAGAGACGCCAAGGTAAAAGAGAAGTACTGCTAGTCATAAGTCCCGTCTGCTGGTTATTGAGGTAGACAAATCAAGATTGTCAATGGAGCTGAAGATTGAACGATCAATTCATGGTTGTTTGCTCAAAACCAACTTCCTCAATTTTCGCGGAGGCATCAATACACCAGTCATCGTCTCATCGGTCGCTGTTCAGAAAGAAGTCAGCAGTAAACCGTCAGAAGTAATATTGTGATTTATTATTGTAATATTTGTTCACAGACCTTAGTAGAAACATTTTTATATGTTGGTGTAACAATAAAGAATCCTCGAGTCACCAATTGGTGTTTTGGTGTTTTCGTCCGTTATTACTAAGCGTTTCTGAGAAACTTCAAGGAACAGCGTGAGCCCGAACGTAGCAAGAGCTGGGCATTAACGGTTTACGAGACGTGGCTGACAGTTTTATATTCCATTAAACCTAACATTTTACAGCTCTTTATGACTTATTATATTCCTACTCTCTGAAGGGTACGGTTGTACATTAAATGCACAAAAAGGTATAAAACAAAAACAACTGGCACAACTGAGGATAAATGTATTGAAACCAAAATTGGACATCATGATAGTACGAGGTATATGTGTTGCATTATACATTGCAAATGAACGTTGTCAGCCTAGGGAGTTTTCTTTTTAATGCATTTATTAATGATACTTGCACTTACCTATTTCATTACAATTTAATGATTCACCTCAGCACTTTTACTTTTCTAAAACAGCTTTGAATCCCTTGTAGAAGTTGTACTTACCTCAATATTGGTTGGTTATCGTATGCCGACAACCACGGGATGAAAACGAAACGAAGTCGA